CTCCTCCTTCTCCTCCTCCTCTTCCTCCTCCTCCTCCTCCTCCTCCTCCTCCTCCTCCTCCTCCTCATCATGTTCCACCCCCTCCCCCTCCCATCAACAGGCCAAGGCGGCAGACCCGTTCGCCAAGGCTGCGTCGCCCTTCGTGAAGGCCGGTCTCGGGGAGGGGAAGCCACCCCATCACAATTAGCTCACTAGCGGGCCATCTCCAGCGTGGAGGTCCACCCCAGACCCCCTCGCGCTGCGAACAAATCGTGACGGGAGGTTTGTTGCCATTTTCGGCCTCCGTCGGCCTTGAACGAGCATCGGGACCGTCAAAAACGACTCGGGATGAAAAGCCAGTCAGTCCTGGGAACAGAGTCATGCTTTCTGGGGACCGCGCATCGGCCAGATCAAGACATCGCATGTCTGGGAATGCCCCTCCGAGCCGGAGACTGGGGACGTCCACGGGCGATGGCCAGATCCATGATTCGTGCCCTCGCGGCCTGGATGCCAGGGCGCGATCCCGCGGGTACGCGATCCCGAGGACGCGTGCCGCGGGGGTGCATCCGCGCAGCACCGCGCCCCACATCCGCGGGGCCGCGGGCGAGAGGAGGCCCGGGCCGCGAGGCCGGGGCCGTGGGCCACGCTCAGCCAGCCCGCGAGGCGCCTCGAGCGGGTCGGCACACAGAGCGCGGGTCCGCGAATGTGAGGCCTGGTTGTGAGTCAGGCGTGTCCCGCTGCAGGAGGAGGATTCTTCAAAATAGTTTAGGAGAGTCTGGGGACGATATTCGACGATTTGTGAACATATGTACATACATATACATATATATATATGTATAGGTGTATGTATGTGTATGTGTATGTGTATATGTATATGTATATGTATATGCAGCTGTATATACATATATAGCTTGTTCGTCCGAAGTCCGCCTGCAGGAGGACATGCCCGACCGAACCAAGCCTAGTTTGACTCCCCGCGTCTCCCTCCTCCCTGCTTTGCCGCGCGCGCGCCGCCCGCCCCGCTGCCGTTCGTGGTGTCCATGGGGCGGGCCGCTCGTGCGGGCCGCCTCACCCCTGCTGATGGGCCTGTTTTCCACCACCACCACCATAAGTTGGAGGGGGAAGGGGGTGGAGGAGGAGGAGGAGGAGGAGGATGAGGAGGAGGTGGAGGACGAGGGGGAGGAGGAGGAGGAGGAGGAGGAGGAGGAGGGGGAGGAGGAGGAGGAGGAGGACCCCCGCCCCCTCCTACTTTAGGGTGCTGGCGGTGGAAAGCAAGCCCACCACTTCCATTTGGGCGATGCAAAGAAAAAACAGGGTCGTCTTCGCCGACATTGGCGCGTAAACTGCCCGCGTAAGGTCTCGCGTGAGCACCCTCGTTTCCAGTGCAGCGTGCTGGGCGGGCGGCCCGCGCACGCTGCGGCGTGAGGACGCTACGCCACTTCGCGTAAGGCCCGTTTCTGATCGTCGCTCATGTGTTGCCGTGGCGCCGCTGAGCCTCTTGCCCTATGTGGGCCGGGAGCGGCCTCAGAGCTTTTGTGTCCGACCAATGAAAAAGAGGTGGGGGGGAAGGCGGGCGGGAGCGAACACGGGGGCCACACCACCAGGAGGGCCCTCCCAATCTCCTCGCGATGTCGGTGATGGTGCCGACGGTGTGTGTGTGTGTGTGTGTGTGTGTGCGTGTGCCCCGGCCGCTGCACTGGACTTTCTTCGCCCCGTCGCTGCGCGCGAGGCCGCGACCGCCAAAGCGTGTGCGTCAATCCGCGGCCCCAGGAACTCGCGGCCGCTCTCCCTGGAGGCCGTGCTCCTGTGGCCCCGGATCAGTGCTGGCTTGCCCCAGGGCCCGACGGCGCTCCGCCCGGGGGCCGCCGGGGCGGAGGAGAGGCCCGCCCGGATCGGAGGAAGCGGTCCGCCCGGAGCCTGGGTCACAGTCTCGGCCACACGTCTAGAGTATTGCTGTAGGGCCTTACGGGAGGCCTTGCAGCCAGTGCCGCTGACCCTGGAGGCTTCGGCCCCGCCCACACGCCCCGGGAGGGTGGCAATTCTGACCCGGGACCACCCCCTGGGACCACCCCCTGGGACCACCCCCAGGGACCCTCCCCCCCCCCCCCCTTCCGCGGGAAAGGGATCAAAGGGAAGGGGCCTCCCTTCGACTCGATGACGACTGTGGATGGGCTCGCTTTGGCTGGCGTGCTCACGGTTCGACTATTTTTCGCCGGAGTGACCTTCTGTGCGGGCCCGCAGGGGTCCCCCCCAGCGCTGGCCTGCGCGCTCGGGTGTGGTCCCCCCCCCCTGGCGGCCCCTCAAAGCCGCACACCAAAAAGGCCACTCTCGGCGGGGTCGCCTCTGTGGCTATGTGCCCGACAGGCCCCTCTACTCCCTCTTGATGGGCTTCTTTTTGACAGGGGAGAAGGTTACGGCACCAACTGCATAAGTTGGAGCGGGAGGAGGTGTGGATGTGTGATGATGATGATGATAGATGATGATGATTGATGATGATGATATATGATGAATGATGATGATGATGATTGATGATGATGATGATGAATGGATGATGATGAGATGATGATGATGATGATGATGATGATGGTGATGAGTGATGGTGATGGTGATGGTGATGGTGATGGTATGGTGATGGTGATGGTGATGGTGATGGTGATGGTGACGGTGATGGTGATGGTGATGGTGATGGTGATGGTGATGGTGATGGTGATGGTGACGGTGATGGTGATGGTGATGGTGATGGTGATGATGATGAGGAGGAGGAGGAAGAGGAGGAGGAGGAAGAGGAGGAGGAAGAGGAGGAGGAGGAAGAGGAGGAGGAGGAGGAGGAGCAGGAGGAGGAGCAGGAGGAGGAAGAGGAGGACCCCTCTCCCCCCCACTTCTGGTGGTGGCGGTGGGAAACAAGCCCACCACCTCATCCTCCTCCTCCCTGCTCCCCCTCCCCCCAGCACGCTAGCTGCCTGTTTTGCCGTGCAGCATCGGTGACGTTTTTGACGGGACTGCGAGCCTGGCTCTGCAAGGTGCGGTCCACGAGGGTGCCCGAGGGAACAAACATCGGCGTCACCCCAACATTTTTGATACTGCGTGTGCGTCGCCCCGCTAGGGGCGACGCGCGCACTGAGAAATCTTATGGTACATGCGCCGTGGCGGGCGCTTTCTGGCCACACTGATCGGGCAACGATGTATTACAGGATGGGTATACGAGATGCTCGGGTCGGCCGCGCGCCTCCAGGGAGGACCGACAGTACCAGCAGGCCTCTGTGCGTCTCAGAGAAGCGTGCGCCTCACAGGCCGGGGCCCCGAAGCCCGCGGAGGAGTCCTCGTCGCCGTACGTGAAGGCCAGGCCCCCGCGGCCGCCGGGCGACGAGGCCGCGGAGGAGCCCGCCGAGCCGCCCGTGGCTGCGCCCGCGGCCGCGCCCCCAGGGGTGCTGCGGATCTCGGCGGCGGGTGGTCGCGCGAGCGGCGGGTGCGCAGGCCGTAGTGTCGAGGGAGGAAGCACGGTCGGCGCCACCCCAGCACACGAACACCCTGAGGGGAGCAAGAAGTGGCATAAGCATAAAAACTCGGAGGTCCGCGCGGATTTCTCGGATCCGCGCTGGGGCCCCCTGGCGGCGCCTCCGGCGCTGCCCCTGGCGCGCTCCGCGCGCCAGGGAGCGGGGTCCAGCGCGGATCCGAGAAATCCGCGCGGACCTCCGAGTTTTTATGTTTATGTCACTTTTCGTTCCCCCAACCATGTGTGCGTCGCCCCCCCAGGGGCGACGCGCGCACAGAAGTCTTGTAGTCTCTGCGTCGTGGCGGGCGCTGACTGGGCCGCACCGCGGGAAGCAGTGCACTGCAGGATGGGTATATGTTCGGGTCGGACGCGCGCCTCCAAGGATGACATACAGTATTCGTATGTCTCTGTGCGTCCCACACGAGGACCGTGACCCCAGAGATGCGGGCGTTGTCGCGCGGTTTCGGGTTCCTCTGGGGCCGTGACAGATCGGCCCCGCTGGAGACATGGCCCAGAACTGCCGGGGTCTGCAGGGTTTCTGGCTGTGATTTTCCGCGATGTGGTATTCTTTTCGCAACGACGGATCTCATGGAGCAATACATCGTGGGATGCTGTCGACGCCGACCGTGGCTGTGGGCCATGCCGGCCGTCGCCGACTCGCGAGGACGATCCACGGATTGACAGTGATCAACATGGTCGACGACCAAGATCGGCTTTCCGCCTTCAGTGGTGGTCATGGCTGTTCCCTTCCATGACCTCCTCGCGTCGACGTTCGAAGTCCGCGGTTCGAAGTCTGAGGTTCGTTGGACGTTGTCGCCGCTTCCCAGAGGGTTTCCAGACTCGGCGCGCTTCCCTGCAGCTGCGCCTCGCCGAAGGCGCGTCCAGCGGTCCCCCGAAGTACCGACCCTTTCCCCAGAGCCGGCTCTTCATCCCCGAGTCGTTCTGTCGACGGTCCTGGAGCCCGGCGAGGGATGGCCCCCCGCTGCTGATGCCAACACGCCCCCCGGTAATTACCCCCCCGGAAGGCGCTCCGTGGGTGATCCTGCAGAGGGCTGGAGCTGGGCCGAGCCAGGTTTGGGAGCCCAGGGGAGCCGCTCGCGGCCCTGGAGGTGGCCCTGCATACTGGCCGAGCCGTGCTTAGGAAGCCCCCAACGAACTGCAGCGCAGTTTTGCCAAGTCGGCGGAGCTGGGTTTGCGTCGATCCTGGTCAAATAATCCACGCCCGACGGAAGCTCGTCTCGGTGTGTTGTAGCCCGTCATATGGGAGCTTCGGTGGGCCCCGAAATGTTGGGCGCTCTTTTTGGGGAGTCCGTCCGGATGTTGTCGGATCCGGTCGACAATGTGGACGAAGTTTGGACGAACCGTGGAGGAATTCTGGACGAACATGTGGACGAAATCTGGACGAAATGTGGACGACATTTGGACGACATCTGGACGAATTGTGGACGGAAATGTGGACGAAATCTGGACGCAATGTGGACGAACAGGTCAAGAGGGGTGGTCGACACTCAGGAACGACATCCGGTCGAGATTACGCCTAAGTAAGGCAGGGCCGCGGAGGTCCACAGAGAGGCCCCAAGGGGCAGGCTCGCCCCGTCGGGGGGGTCCACGTCTTGAGCCGATCGCGGCGTCGGGGGTCTGTCACCGTCCACCAAACCACCCCAACCCGGCCTCAATCTGCCCTCCATTTCCAGTGGGGGGGGGGGTCGGGGAACACCGAGAAGACACACATGATGGAACTTGTACCCCCCCCAACCCGAAGTTCGGGTCTTCGGGTTGGGTTGGGGTGGTCTGGTAGGCAGTCAGTTTGGGTTCCAGGACCCCTGGCAGCGGGTGCCATTCGCGACTTGCGTTAAGTCGGGCACCTCTCTTTACAGGGGGAACATTCACAAGTAGTCAAACAATTAGTCGGGGTTTTCGAGAATGTTTTTGTTGTTCCTCTCCAATTTTTGTATCTTTCGTCCACAATCCGCCTGCAGAGGGGGCATGCCCGACCTAAGTCTGGGTCCCAGGGCCCCCTTGGCATCGGGTGCCACTGGCGACGAGCGTGCGCGGGCAGCCGCAGAAATAAGTCGGTGCCCGCGCCGCCCCCCCGGGATATCCGACGCTGCGGACAGAGATCATCCTGGCATCGCTCGGACGTTTGCGCATGTGTGTTTCGGCGATAGCCATCGAGGAGCAGATTGGATCATCTTGCGGCAAATAGAGGCACGAGGTCGAAACAGGCACGGGGAAGGGACGTTCGGGCGATGGCCAGACATGGCATGGTCGCGAAAAAGGCCGCGACCGGGGCCCTGGACCCTGGACCCCTTCTATTCTGCGGCCTGCTTGCCGAGCCGCATCGATCTGGGAGGGTCCTGGGGCCCGAAGCAAGGCGAAATGCCGACCGTTGTGAGAGTCGCTCCTTCTTCTCCTCCTCCTCCTCCTCCTCCTCCTCCTCCTCCTCCTCCTCCTCCTCCTCCTCCTCCTCCCTATCTCCCCATCCTCCTCGTGCGGTGGGCGTCGGCCGTCGCCGCAGGTTTACTCCTTGTTTCGCCGATCGGCGCGGGCCCCTGGCCTCCACCCCGGGCCACCACAGACCAGATCTTGGCTGCTTCTGGCGGCTGCCCTTGGCGACTGGGCAGGGTCCTTCTCCCCAGGAGCGACTGAGCACCGTCCCGGAGGTATGAGGTCGAGGCCGTTTCGGGGAGGGTGCCCTAACGCTTCTAGTGCTCGTGGGATGTTCTCGTGCATCCCGGGGAGGGTACCCTTGGATGCTCTGCTTGTTCTGGCCGGCGGAGGGCCTCCTGTTCTTGAAGCATGTTCTGCTGCCCTGGGCCCGACTGCAGAGGCAGGTCGACCAAGTACTGGCCCAGACCCAGAGCCTTTACCGACCCCTGCGACCCCTCTTCCCCCGTGACTCCAGGTCTCCCAGATGGGGTCCGAGTAGATGGGGTCGGAGGATCGCGACGCATCGCCGATGCATCACCGATTCGGCTCGATGTGGAGCCCAATTTTCTCCACGCCGACGCCGCCGATGCATCGCCGACGTCGCCGATGCATCGGCGATGTATCGGCGATGTATCGCCGATGCGGCGCGATCCTTCGACCCCGTCTACTCTGACCCCATCTAGGAGGACTCTAGTGACCCCCGCGACCCCTGTGACCACTTTCCCCGTGACCCCCGTGGAACCCCTCCCTCACTGGAGGAGGAGGAGGAGGAGGAGGAGGAGGAGGAGGAGGAGGAGGAGGAGGAGGAGGAGGAGGGAGGAGGAGGAGGAGGAGGAGGAGGAGGAGGAGGAGGAGGAGGAGGAGGAAGGAGGAGGGAGGAGGAGGAGGAGGAGGAGGAGGAGGAGGAGGAGGAGGAGGAGGAGGAGGAGGGATAGGAGGAGGAGAGAGGAGGAGGAGGAGGAGGAGGAGGAGGAGGAGGAGGGAGGAGGACGCGGAGGTCTAGAAGGGGGATCAGGCCGGCCGGCGCGATCGGTTGACGCGCGGGGCTGAGGCCAAGGCGGCGCCCGGCAGGCGGGCGGACTTTCTGCCCCTCCGCTCCGGGCTCCTGCAGCTGGGGGGCGGCCGATGTTCACCGAGCGCTTTCCTGAGCCACGCACAGAGGGGGTCTTCTATGGTCCCAGCATTGACTGGAAAGCCACCCCGTGGGCAAGCTCGGCTGGGCGGAAACGTGGGCGCAATCCACTCGGTGAGAGCAATTCCTTCCTCATCATCCCTTCCCATCCTGAAGCGTCGCAGCCTTGCGACGCCCCTGCCAGGGCCAGGGTAAAGAGGGTGGGGGCGTGTTGCCAGGGAAAGCCAGCAGACGCATTTCTGCAGCTAGACGCCGTGCGAATTCTGGCGTGCCCGAAGGCGTGGGAGTTCGGACAGCCACTGGCCCTGCCCGCGGCCGAGCAGCCGGCAACAGTCGGCCACGCGCAGAGGAGGGTATGGGGAGGGGGGAAGGCTTCTTGGAAGCACCCCTGCTTCCTAGACGGCGCGGGCTCTATCTGTAGATGTGAGGCTGGCGCCTGCTTAGAAGCAGCCTCTCTCCAAGAAGCCTTCCCCCTCCCTACCCCCTTTGTGCGCGCCGCCGATACTCGCAAAGTGCCCACTCGCAAGCGTCCGAAAACACTACGTTCGCCTCTACGTCACGGATCGTAGACCCCCCGCGGCAGATCCTGGCCACTTGCGAGCAGTTGCTCTGCGAGAGGGGGAGCGCGCGCTTGTCTGGATGTGCGCGGGGCTCGGCCGGCTCGGCCGCGTCGCCAGTGGGCTGCGTCGCGGTCGGTTCGGGTTTCGTCTTGGTTGTCGTGCCGCTGCTGCGTCGTTGCGCCCTCTTTGGGCTACTTTTAGGTCGGGCGTGTCGTCCTACAGGCGGATTTTGGGTGAACATTTCCAAATAGTCAGAAAGTCATCAAAACTGATCACGAGTAGTTGAAACATCGTCCCCAGACTACTTGTTGCCTATTCTTGAGCATTCCCCCTGTAGAGGGACAGGCCCGACCCAGGGGCTGCTCTGCGGCCCACTGATCTCGGTTGCGGTTTCGGTCTCGCCGTGCCGTCGCCGTGGACGGCCCGGTATCCGGTGGCCCTCGGCCCACCCCGCCCCACCGTGCTCGAGTCGTGAGCCACAGGCCTCTCCGGATGCTCGGGAGGGCTGCCTGGGGCGCCTCCACGATTACCTGAGAATAAGAGGTCCTATGCCGATGTCAAGGACCTTTCCCCCCCCCCCTCTCCCTCCCTCCCTCCCCCTCCCACACAGACACGCCCAAGCATGCCGAGCCCCACGCCGACACCGACCCCAAGGACCTCTCCCCCCTCCCTCCCCACATTCAGTTTTTGTGAATCTCGCATTGCATGTTGTTCAGACACGCCAGGTTCCTGAGGCCACGGTCTCGACCACCTGGTCTTAGCTAGGCCCGGACGGCGTCCGCAGCGGTGGTCGTGTCGTATCGTCAGAGGGCCTACATATTTCGATTCGATCGCACCAGTTCGATATCGACGTCGCCGAGCTCGATCCTATCCGATTCCGAGCTTTCTACGGTCTGGCGCGGCCCGATGCTGGAGGAGGAGGAGGAGGAGGAGGGAGGAGGAGGGAGGAGGAGGGAGGAGGAGGGAAGATGAGGAGGAGGAGGAGGAGGAGGAGAGAGGAGAGGAGGAGGAGGAGGAGGAGGAGGAGGGAGGAGGAGGAGGAGGAGGAGGTGGAGGAGGAGGAGGAGGAGGAGGAGGAGGAGGAGGCACGGCGTTGCTCTTTATACCCCGGCGATCCGAGGCCAAAAGCTCCGTGGCGACGCAGCCCGGTCCGGTGCGCGTGCCGATCCGACCCGCAGCTGGCGGTGCGGTGCGGACTGCGCCTGCCCGGGCTGCCCCCTCCTAGACGACACTCAACACCCAATTCCTACTGAGTGTTTTTTGATAGTAGTATCCACCCAGTCGAACTGAGATCAAGATGGCGAGCGGGAATCAGATCAAAGCCCACCGGAAAAATATGAGAGCGTCAACGAATTGTTGAATTTCGAGAACAGAATTCTCAACAGACCCAAAGCATGCAAAACTTCCCTCGAGATTGTTTGAGCCACCTCAGTGCTTCCCAGGGTTGCACCAGGAGCGTCTCAAGACGGATCCTCGAACGCTCCGGGAGAGGTCTCGGCGGTTCAGAACGCCTCGGGGTGGTTCAGGGTGGGAGTCCATGGGCACACAAAAAAATGATCAAGCATTCGCTAAGATTCTTGCTGTTTTTGAAGTTTGTCGTTTTCCTCACTTTTCCAGTGAAGATGAGTCAAATGGCGCTGAGGAGCTGCCCAGCAGAGCGTAAAGAACCTTCTAGAGGCGACTAAAAAGCCTCCGTGTCCATTTTAGCCCGAGGTCCCATTATTGGCCTGACTCCCGATACTGATCGCCTTGTGTAGGCCCGTGTGTAGCTACGATGGCCACAGGTTTGATGTTGCTGGCCTTGGTCAGCTTCGTCTGCGTCGGTCCGGCCGCCAGCGAGGGTGAGAATCTCTTGACAGAGCTTGCGGATGAGGTACTTTCCAACAAGCAGGCGCTCCTGAGTGTCCCATGGGAAATATACAGGGACACGCCGACGTTCAGGGATGTTGGCTACGTGGGCGAGTTTCCAATTAGGGATTCTGCTGCTACTGAGATACACCTGAGCTCGTTGGAGACTGCACGGGAAATCCAAGGATTCCCACCAAACGTTCTGATTGGCAGGGCCTTGGTCAAAGACACCCTCAATGTTACACAGCCACCTTCGAATTTCCGCTACGGGGGAAAAGGAGGTGAGGAGATCAAGCACCTGAATGGCTTGACGAACCCCGCGGGCGACCTGACTGTGTGGCAGTGGCAGAGGATGAGGTGGTCTGCTGCAAAGGGCTGGCTGGAATACTGGGCTGACCGGGGGATTGGGAGCGATACGCGGTTGGCCATCATCCACTCCAACGGTGATGTCCTGTACGGCGGCTGCGACGAGAACACGATTGTCTACAAGTACAACAGGATCGTCACCGCGAGCGGCGGCTCGCAGAAGATCGTCATGGCGGCGGAGCTGAGCCCTTGGCCAGCCGACCTTGGGTGGAGCTACAACCTGACCAGCTCGAGCTGGGTCGAGGGAAGGAGGACCTTCGATGCTCGTTTTGGAGACCTTTCTGGGGCCCACCAGATGGATCTGTTCGACTTCAGTTCGACTCAAGTTCGACTCAGGTTCGACTCAGGTTCGACTCAGGTTCGACTCAGGTTCGACTCAAGTTCGACTCAAGCTCGACTCGAGTCGACGGACGTGCGACGCAGCTTCGACGCACGAGTGGAGCGAGTGGCTCCAAGAAGTTCCCCAGAACGAGCATCTCGAGGACCGACGTGCTCTCGGGCGTGAGCGTGCCTGCTGACTGGGAGTCGACGTACGCTGACTGCACCGACCCCAGCCTGGGCCCTTGCAACGCCTCGCCGAAGTACATGTACGCCAATTCAGGCTTCATTATGGGCACCATCGACGCTCTCATCGACATGATTGCAGAGGTTGGGACAACCTACTCTGGTTGGGACAATCGATGGTTCAACGAGTATTACTTGAAGAACCCTGCTACTGTGACTCTCGACTACGCTGGCGAACTGTCAATGTCCCTCCACAACATGAAGCTTGGCAGCCTCCCGCTGGAAGTCAACGACACCAGCACAGGCAAGAAAATCCAGAGCAAGTTGACAAATGGTAGCATTTGTTTCTTACATGGTAATGGTAACAGCTTCACAACTCTTCAGGGTGTCGCCAGGGAGCTCAAGGCTTAGACTTGAACAGCTGTAGGCAGTGCGGATCGATATGTAGTGCTTTTCGCATGGATTCGTGCGCGTGCACAAACACACACGGACACACAGGCAAGTATACGCGGATATCACGCACACGCGCACCACGCCTCACACAGTAAACGTACCCACCGCGAGATCCCCTCGTGTGTCGGTTGCTTAGGGTCTCTTTGCAGGGCGCAGTGTCTTGCTGCTCCACTTCCCGCTGCAGTGCGCCTTGAGTGCGCACGACTGCCCATGTTTGATGCTCCTTCTGCTGAATGTCTCCAATGTTGTCATGGGATCGACACTGCCTGCCAGTCGAGCGCAGAGCAGCTCTGGCAGCACTGCCGTCCGGCCGTACCATCGAAGCCGGTGGCGCTACAGTCGGGGCCCTGAAGAAGGAACCCTTTTCGTTGGGGAGGGGCTCCGTGTTCCTTGATTGTTTCACAGCTTGCCTCAGGTTTTCCTTAGGCTTCCGATGGGAAATCGAACTTTGACTGATGGGAAAAAGGGGCCTCGTTCCTTATTTAGGGTTCCTTAGGTCAACGCCCCGACTGTACTTGTTCTGCAGGCCGCCGTTGTCTCTTCTTACGTTTTGTAGTCCCGCTGCCTCCGCGAGTGCTGGTGGAGCCGACTTGGGCACCACACGCCGGCAACGGAGAGCCCATAATGGGTGCGCGCGATGCGCGCTCGGACAAAAACGAGGCGCCCACGATGCCCCCCAGGAGGCCCCAGAGACGCCCCCATGGGGTGCCGAAGCCCGCCCCACTACGCTCCAAGACGCCTCCGAACGCCGCCAGCATGCTGTCAAGAGGCTCCTTCGAAGTTCTGGACGATCCCAGGGAGCCCAAGCGGCACCTCGGATCCTAGTGAGAGCTCTGCGAGGATCCAGCAGGCCCGAAGCGCGCACCCCGGAGGGCCACGACAGGCTCCCTCGAAGATCCGACCAGCCAAACAGTGCAGCAGTGCAGAACAGCAAAAGCTATATCGCGTCCACCTTCTCCGCCTCGACCCCGTCCCTACGACTTCCGCGATCACCCTCTTCTCCGCCTCCTGCGCACCAGCGGTAGCCTCGTGCTCATGAGAGACGTACGGGCCCCAGAGCCGTCAAAGAGTCCCAGGAGGCCCCCGCCACGCCCCCTCCCCCAGCACCCAGAGACTTGACAGAGCAGCCCATGGGCTCCCTAGCGACATCACAGACGATCCGAGCATGCCCCCTAGTACAATATGCCAAGCGCATAACATGTATATATAACATCTATAGCGTGGGTACAATCTAAATGCCTGGTTGCTTTTACTGTCTAAATGCCTGGTCTTTTCCATACTGGTTCGATGCCTCCGCCTCCTCCTCCCCTCCCCTCCCTTCACTTCCCTCCGCCCTCGCATACTCAGCCTTGCATAGTCTCGCAGTCACCCAAAACCAGACTCACTCACATATATTCTTGACGCTTCGCGCATCCCCACCGGCTTATTATCTAGCAACGGTGCCCACGCGCGTTGCATTGATCAGGGAAGTGCGGGAGCACGCAGTGGATCAAAGAGGGGGTGCCAACCGTCAACCGGATCGGGATACAGTGGGGGCCCATGCCAAGAAACACCCTGCTTGCCTCCAGGGTGCCCTGGGATTCTTGGGTTTCGATGGTTTGCCATGGAAAGCGTGGCCTCCCCACACCAAAAGCCGACGGACGTCCTGGGGCCTCTGGACTGGGCTTCTTGTGGAAGATTTCTTTTTTGTCGGGCCCCTACTGTATGCCTGAGCAGGCCCAGGCATCAACCGTGCACGATCTCGCTGATCTTGCGATGCGGGAGCCTCTTCTGGCAGCTTGCCCGGTCCGCCCTGGGGCCCCCCGAGCGCCATCTCTGCAACCCTTTTGGTGACCTGCGTGGGCCCTGCTGCGGCCCTCTTGGAGGCGCTTCTTGTGGGAGGGCACTGGTCAATGAAGGAGGGGCCCTCGACTACGCCCGCGCCGTCTGAGCCCCGAGGGTCACGCCACGGGGCCCTCTTGGGGCGCTCCTGGGGCGCTCGTGGGCACTCCTGGGGCGATCCTGGGGCCCTCGTGGGGCCTCTCTGGGGGCCCCCGTGGGCCATCTTGGAGCCACCTCGAAGCCTCCACGAAAACGCCGGAGGCGAAGAGACGAGAAGGCCAGCGGCCTTCCCCAAGCAGTGCTCGCACTTACGGTGGAAGCCCATGCCAAGAAACACCCTGCTTGCCTCCAGGGGTGCCCTGGGCTTCTCGGGTTTCGATGGTTTTGCCATGGCAAGCGTGACGTCCCCATACCAAACAAAAATCAATGGACGTCCTGAGATTCCAGGGTTGGGCTTCTTGCGGAAGGGTTTCTTGTGGTCGAGCCCCTGCTGTACAGTGGGGGCCCATGCCACGAAACACCCTGCTTGCCTCCATGGTGCTTTGGGTGGGGTTTCCATGGCCTTACCATGGGAAGCGTGGCGTTTTCCCACACCGAAAATCCATGGACGCCCTGGGGTTCCAGGGCTGGGCTTCTTGTGGAAGGCTTCTTGTGGTCGAGCCCCTGCCGTATAGGTGCTCTCGCCTGGCCTCCGAGGAGCCAGGCCCGTGCGCGGCCCCGGCGGCCCCGCATGCCCGTCCTCCGACTCCCTGCCTCGCTTTCCCCCCCCCCCCCCCCCGGCGCGTTGCATTGCAGCCGCACTGCGCGGCGCTGTCGTGCGCTGCAGCCGCCCTGCGGTGCACTGCAGTCGCACCGCGCTGCGCGGCGTTGCCCTGCTCTGCACCGCGCTGCTCTGCACGGGGCCCCGCCCGTCGCACTGCGCTGCGCTGGCCTCTGCGCTGCTCTGCGCTGGTTTGCGGGGCATCTCGTTGCTTTTTGCATTGCCTTGCATGGCCCTGCATGGCTCTGCATGGCTTTGCATGGCTTTGCATTGCATCGCTTTGCATTGCTTTGGTATTGTTTTCTTTACATTACTTTGCATTGCTTTGTATTGCTTTCCGCCGCGTAGATGGCACCACATGGATTGCACCACCTAGATTGCACCACATAGACTGCGAGAGCGCGCCACTGGATGCCCCCGTAATTGTAAAGAGGTCGTGTGCTGACGGGACCACCCCCTGCCCCCCTTCAAGTGGGGTGTGTTTTCGGACCCCCCCCTCCCCCCCTTTCAGAGGGTGGGGTGGGGGTGCCGGACACCCCCCTCCCCACGTTACGCTGCAGAGGGGTGGTGACATTTCGGACCCCCGCCCCTTCAAAAGGAGGGGGGTCGGCTAGGGTTAGGGTCAGCGTTAGGGCTCGGATTAGGGCTAGGGGGCTTCGATTAGGGGGTTCGGGTGGTTAGGGTTCGGGTTAGGGGGTTAGTGTCATGGGTGTTAGGGTTCAGGTTAGGGTGATAGGGATAGTGTCAGGGAGTCAGGGTTAGGGTGGTAGGGTATTAGGGTATTAGGGTTAGGGTTCCGGGGTGAGGGGTTTAGGATTAGGGTGGTAGGTTTGGGGGGATTAGGCTTAGGGGTAGGGTTAGGGTTATGGGGGTTAGGGTTAGAGAGTTAGGGTTAGGGTTAGGAGTTCAGGATTAGGGTGGTAGGGTTCGGGTTGGGGTTCGGGTTAGGGGATTCGGATTAGGATGGTAGGGCTGGGGTTCGGGTGTTGGGGCTGGTGTCATGGGTGTTAGGGTCAGTGTCAGCGGCGAACGTGATTATCCGCATCCACGCCCTCGCGGTCCCGACTCCAGACAGCGATCCTCTGGATACATTGTTGCGTAGATGCGTTCCCCGCGGGGCATCCGCGACGTAACGCCCCGCATCCGTGGGGTCGCGGCCCAGGGGCCCGGCATGCGAGGCCGGGAACTTGGATTTGCTTTCCGCCCACGGCATCGACCCTGCCGCTGCTGCCCGCGCTTCGTTTGCCACCGCCCTCCGGCAGTGTAGGAAAGCAAAACAAAAGCAGAGCGGCCAAGAGGAAGCCAACGCTGCGCGACGTCCTGTCGGGAGAGTATGCAGCGTTCGCGAAAAATTGGTCGGCGGACAAGGCGAACGAGTTCCAGCCAGAGGTGGTCGAGTCAATCTACAAGAACTTGAGGTCCAGCAACTTCAACACCAGCAACCTCATGGCACTGGAGTTCAACTCGTACCTAGAGCGGTATCTGTGGCCTTTTTTCGAGGCGGGGAAATCTAGCACCTCGCACTTGTTGTCGATCGCGCTGCTCGTAAACGAGAAGGTGCGAGATGGAAGCGTGTCTGCGTGGGATTCCATTGCCGTGCACAAGGCCAAGTTCGCAAGCTACTTCGAGTGCATGCTGGACCTGTGGAAGGGTGGAAAGGCGAGCCTTCGAGAGAAGACCTTCCTGCTGCAGTTCCTCATCAACTGCTTTCAGAGCCTCGAGCAGGACTCGGTTGTCGTCGTCGTCGTCGTCGTCGTCGTCCTCCTCCTCCTCCTCGTTCTCCACATCCTCCTCCCCCTCCTCCGCCCCTCCCCTCCTCCCTTCCGCCTCCCTCCCTCCCTCTTCAGTCCTCCCTCCTCCCTCGCTTCTCCTCCGTACCCCTCCCTATCTGCGCAAATCGCAAGGATCCTGTGCAGGCGCCGCGTCTGTGTGGGCAGTGGGACACGCGGCCGCGCTTCTCCCCGGCCCGGCCCCTCCCGTCGCCCGGCCGCTCCTGAGCCCGACGGACCTTCCCTCTGGGCCCGAGGGCTCGATGGCTCAGCCCGCGACCTCGATTTTTCGATGGCCCCTCCTCCTCCTCCTCCTCCTCTTCCCTCCTCTTCCTCCTCTTCCTCCTCCTCCCTCCCTCCACTTCCCTCCTCTCTCTCCTCCTCCTCCTCCTCCTCCTCCTCCTCCTCCTCCTCCCTCCTCCTCCTCCTCCCCCCTCCCTCCTCCTCCTCCTCCTCCTCCTCCTCCTCCTCCTCCTCCTCCTCCTCCTCCCCCTCCGACCGCGCACTTTCTGTTCCGCGGCGTGGGCTCCCGGGGGATCTCGACCCCTTCCTTTGGGGCGGGCTTCCCACCTGAGCCGCGCCTCGACGGCCGCCCGGGGCCGGCAAGCGCGGCCACCCCCCCGAGGCCGGAGAGACGGCGAAGGGTCGACCGTCGAGATTTTCCGCGGAGGCCCGGAGCTGAGGGGCCCACTCCAGGGCTCCGTGGCTCGGTGCCGCGAGGCGGGCGCCGTGCGGGCAAGACTCAGGACATCGAGCACAGAAGAGCTCCTGACCCTGATGACACGATGAAGACGTGGCCTCACTGAGGTCCCCGTCGGTTCGGCCTGATACATCCGCAGCAGAGGCCCCTCTATCCCTCATGTTTTGGCCCCTCCTTACTTAGGTCTCCTCCCATGACGTCCGCATGCCCTGCGTCTCGGATTTTCGGGCTCCCTTCCCTGGAAGCCCGAGACGCAGTGGATGTGGATACAGACTTGGCCTCCAGAGGGGCCCGATGAGCATCCGTATCCACCGCTTCTCGGGCTTCTGGCATCTCCTCAACGCCGTGAATTTGGATATACAGTTCGGTCAGACCGAGGTATAAGATCGAGGTCGGTTCGGGGAGGGTGCCCGCCCTCATGCTCTTCGTGCTTGTCGTATGTCCCTGCGCATCTTGGGGGAGGGTACCGTCGAGTGATCTTATAGTTTGGGGTGTTCTGGCCGGCGGAGGGTCTCATGTTTTTGAAGGGTGTTCTTTTGTCCTGGGTCCGACTGTGCAAATCTTGCCAGCAATCCGCTCCATGGGCTCGACGGGCTCGGCGCCAAGATCGGGGCACCAGCCGGTGCCGTCCCAGCCCTGGCGCTGGCCCCCGCGGCGGCCTCGTGGCCTGCAGCGACCTGGTCAGATCGGGGGCGCGGCTGGTGCCGCATGGCGCCCATGAGATTTTTAAACGTAATTCTTTATTCTTCAAAACATGCAAGGCGATGGCGTGCATGACCATAGGCGTGGGTGGGGAGGGGTGGGGAGGTGCTGCAGATTTTTTGCACCTGGCGCTTTCGCCCAGTTTCGCGTCCAGGACCCTCACAGATCGATCCGCCTAGAAAAATGGAGCAGAGAGCTGGGGTCTGGGGCTCTGGTCGTGATCTGTCGCGACGTTGCCATTTTTTGGCAACGTCGGATCTCAAGGAACGGGCGTGACCGGGGGTGGGAGGAGGGCGCCGGTCACGGTCACGCCACGATTCGCGCCAGCGCCGCCTGGGAATGCTCAGGGATGGTACACGGCGCCGGCGCGAATCCTGACGTGACCAGGTCAGAAGGACAGTTGTCGGGTCTGGAGGAGGGGGTCGGGAGCAAGGATCAGATCATCATTCGAATCGCGTGTGTTGAATGTGCTCATTACAGAGCCGTGCCCTGTATCTTCCCAACCTCTCCAGCCCAACACGACAACTGTCTTTCTCACCAGGGGGCGCCGACGCGAATCCTGATGTGACCAGGGGGGGGGGCGGGGTCGGTCACGGGCGTTATCACGGGGCCCAAAAGTATACACCACCACCACCACCAGCTCCCTCATCCACCACCACTACCACGTGTAGGACGGGGGGGAAGGGAGGATGCGGAGGTCCTCCTCCTCCTCCTCCTCCTCCTCCTCCTCCTCCTCCTCCTCCCTCTCCTACCCATGGTAGTGGTGGTGGAACGTCGGCCCATCATGGGCGTCTCTGGGGCGCGCGAACCTCTCCCCTGGGAGGCCGGCGGTCGAGGTTGGTGGAAGGACCGGGGCTCAAGAGACGGGGGTCGATGCAAACGGGGGTCAGCCAGAGCGCCGGACCTTGCAGGATCTTGCTGGGGCAGGGTCGCACCGATCAGGTTTTGGGTGCAGGATCCTGCAACGCCGGTCAGTGGATCCCAGAGAGGGGGGCGGCGGCGGGCCCGCCGGACGCAAGAGTGACCCCTGGCCGCAGGGACCTCTGGTGCGGGCCCCACTGGGGGTCCCCCGGTCGCCGAGCGTGACGCGATAATTCGTAGCGCCTTGTGCGCCTGTGTCTGGTCACCCCGCGGCCCCCAAGAGGCCGCGCACCAGAGGCCGCTCTTGCCCAGAGGTCGCTCTTGCGTGCAGCCGACCGTGGAGGCCAGCGGAAGGCGGGCGGAGGGCGGCGGAAGTGCACGCGCCAGTCTCGGAAGGTAATTCTGGCAGGTTCGCGTCGTGTCCACCCGCGGCGACCCCGCCGCCGGCGTTCCACGCGGAACGCCGCCTGCGGCCCAGCATCGGTCGATGTCGAAGGGTCTGACGTTTCGGAGACGGCTGATCGTTCAAGGCTGAAGGATCCCCGCGGTGTCAGGAGCCAACGACGGAAGTCGGCACTTACACGAACTTTCCGTAAGTGTTTTTGGCAGGGCGCCCTCGAGGGCGCGAAGTCAGTCGCGTTTCGCGCAGCGCGAAACGCCAAGTTAGGCGCCTTTGTTTTTGGGTACGTCGCCGCGCCGTTTGTCCCGACGCGCGGCCTTGCGTCTTGGGGAGGGCGCCGCGGGCACCAGGGGCAAACTCCGCCTCGGGCGCGGCGGGTTCGCCGTGGGTTTGCCGCGGCGCCGGCTGCGTCTCCTCGGGGCGTGGGACGCAGGGTTGTTTGCCATGGGTTTGCCGTGGTGTCGGCGTCGTCCACTTGGGCGCGTCGAGGACAATCACCACGGCAACGTACATGGGGGCTACTATAGTTTTGGCCATAAGACGTCAAGCTTTGGACCCCCCTAAAATCTGAGCGATAGATTTTTGGTCAGGGAACGGTCCGAATCCGATGGGCTCGTACCCCGTAGCATTATATCATACTATTTTCATATTTTAGTATTTGGTGTTCAATGAAATACTACCATGTTATATTATGTGGGATTAAGTTTATGTTATACTATTCATATAATAGTATAGTATGTCATATTGCATTACCTTATCACATAGAATATTGTTTGTTCTATTTTTATGACTACGTTATTAAATCATACTGGTTTTAGTTCTACGTATATGAATATTGCATTGTTTTGTTATTATAGCATAGCGTATTATCGTACACGACAGCACACTGTATTATGCCACATGGTATTGTATCGTACCATATCATACCACATTATATAACACCATAGCATGAATACGTATTCTATACCATCATTTTGTACTGTTTGGTCTTTTAATTTGTATTGCATTACGCAGTATTTTATAGGAGTCTACCTTTTTATAATGCAATGTACACTTATACTATTTGTGCTACTGCAGTAACATATTATTCCATACGCTATCACATTCGAGCCTATTCATATTTACGTATTCGTATTTTACAGTATCAGATTTATCCCATTATGTCATACCTCAGTAATTTGTCATATTATTTCATGTTACATTCTATCATCTCATCATGTGTTATGGTATGCCATGCATCAGAATGTACTACATTAAATATTCCTCCTTGGTTCTATAGTACAGAATGCATATATATATACACACTATATGTTATGCCATGTATGTATAATCATACATACCATAACACGGTGTGGTTATTACCTGTCCCATAAAGTAGGCCCAGACATCATTCCAACTTGGAACCAATCACAGCGCAGTCACTCCGCATTGGTCACTTGATATTGTCAGTGTCATCTTCGTCATCGTCGTTGTCATGCCGACGTCAACGCCATGCTTCAATGTATTCGTTCTCGCTCTGACGCAGTGTGGTCCTGGGAATCCTTATCCAACGCTGTCGCTCTTGCTTCGCTGGCTGGCCATCCCAGAGAGCTCACGAAGGCTCGCGAACCCGCATCAGGGCACTTCTGCATCCTAATCGGTCGTCCGCGGTACGCGGGACCAGCTATGCAGTTCTCCGCCGATGGTAAAACAATTAATTACCTAGCAAGCATCCAGATCCCAATCTGCTTCAAAGCGCATTCATACTTCGATAACCGATCCGTTTTTGTTATTGGTTGTTCTTCTTCTGGCGGGCCCGAGACCGATCTGCTTTCTAAGCTTTCCTACTTCGTGTGTCACCCCCTTCCACCGACCGGCGGGTAGGAGCAAGGCGTCACCATTTTCGGATTCAGGGTTTACGGAGTCAGCTCATGGGATTATGTGGGTTCCAGATGAGGAACAATTTGACGTTTTCTGAGTTTTAACGTTGCGAAACAAGTCAGCGCCGCGAAAAATCACAACTGGAACCCTAGACCCCATCTTTCTGCAGCATCTCTCGGGCTGGACCGATCCGTGAGGCCCCCGGGGCCCGAAGCAGAGCGGACCCAGAGGGCGTGAAGAGATGGCGACGCCTCGATTTGAGGGTGGGGAGGAGGACGACGGAGGACGAGGAAGAGGCAGAGGAGGAGGGGGAAGGAGAGAAGGAGGATGGAAAGGAGGAGGAGGAGGCGGAGGAGGCGAAGGAGGAAGGAAGGAAGGAACGAAGGAAGGAAGTCAGGAAGGAGGAGGAGGAGGAGGAGGAGGAGGAGGGAGGAGGAGGAGGAGCCCCGAGCAGGACTTCGTTCGCGAGTGCTGCCTGAAGCTGACAGGCCCGCGGGGCAGCGGGGCCCGGCCACGGGGGAGGGGAGGGGCCTCGCCCACGCCGCACCGCCAGCCGCCCGGGGCCCGCTGGCGGTGGTGGTGACGAGGGTGGCGACAACGATGATGATGTTGTTGGTGATGGTGATTATGATGCTGCTGCTGCTGCTGATGCTGGCGGATGATGATGATGATGATGATGATGATGATGATGATGATGATGATGATGATGATGATGATGATGATGATGATGATGAGGATGATGATGATTCTGATGAGGATGATGATGATGATGAGGATGATGATGATGATGGCAACGGTTACGATGATGGTGGTGATGATGATGAGGATGATTATGCTGCTGCTGCGGATGATGGTGATGATGCTGCTGATGATGATAATGAAGATGAGGATGAGGATGAGGATGATGATGATGATGATGATGCTGATGATGATGCTGATGATGACGATGCTGCTGCTGATGGTGGTGGTGGTGGTGATGATGACGATGATGCTGGTGGTGGTGGTGATGATGATGATGATGGTGACGATGATGATGCTGCTGCTGCTGATGATGCTGATGTTGCCACTGACGATGATGACGATGATGATGAGGATGAGGACGAGGATGATGATGATGATGAAGCTGATGATGATGACGATGATGATGCTGATGATGCTGCTGCTGCTGATGATGAGGCGGATGCTGACGACGACGGCGACCAGGATGATGATGATGATGATGATGATGATGATGATGATGATGATGATGATGATGATGCTGATGATGCCGCTGATGCTGATGCTGATGCTGATGCTGATGCTGATGCTGATGCTGATGCTGATTATGATGATGATGAGGATGCTGATGCTGGTGCTGGTGCTGCTGCTGGTGATGATGCTGATGATGATGATGATGAGGATGGTGACGATGACGATGACGACGACGGCGACGGCGACGGCGCTGTTGATGATAATGATGATGATGCTGATGCTGATGATGATTCTGGAGACGGTGATCATGATGGTGATGATCGTGATGATGATGTTAATGATGATGCTGATGCTGACGTTGATGCTGTTTAGGATGATGATGTTCATGATGATTATGATAATGATAATGGTAATGGGGATGGTGGTGTTAATGATGATGGCGATGGTGATGGTGATGGTGATGATGACGATGACTTTGATGATGATGATGACGATGATGAGGATGCTGATGATGATGAGGATGGTGACGACGACGCTGACGAAGACAGTGACGGCGATGTTGATGCTGCTGATGATGCTGCTGCTGATGATGATGATGATGTTGATGGTGATGATAATTATGATGATGCTGATGCTGATGATGATTATGGGGACGGTGATCGTGATGGTGATGATCGTGATGATGATGCTAAGGATGATGATGCTGATGATGCTGCTGATGATGATGACGACGAGGACGACGACCAGGATGATGATGCTTCATGATAATACTGATGATGCTGATGCTGATGCTGATGCTGATGCTGATGCTGATGCTGCTGCTACTTCTGCTGCTGCTGCTGCGGTGGATGATGATGATGCTGATGCTGATGCTGATGTTGATGATGATGATGATGATGATGATGATGATGATGATGATGATATTGATGACGACGACGACGATGATGATGGTGATGATGATGGTGATGCTGATGCTGATGCTGATGCTGATGTTGATGCTGATGAAGACGATGATGGTGATGTTGATGATGATGATGCTGATGATGACGATGATGATGATGATGATGATCATGATGGTGATGATGATGCTGATGATGATGATCGTGATGATGATGCTGATGCTGATGATGATGATGATGCTGATGATGATGATGATGATGACGACGACGACGACCATGATGATGATGATGATGATGATGATGATGATGATGATGCTGATGATGATGATGATGATGATGATGATGAGTATGATAATGGTGATGGTGATCGTGATTTTGATGATGATTAAGATGTTGATGGTGATAGTGATGATCATGATGATGACGATGAAGATGACTATGACTTTGATTATGATGATGAGGATGATGATGAGGGTGAGAGGGGGAGGAGGAGGAGGAGGAGGAGGAGGAGGAGGAGGAGGAGGAGGAGGAGGACGAGGAGGAGGAGGAGGAGGGAGGAGGCGGAGGAGGAGGAGGAGGAGGAGGAGGGGAGGAGGAGGAGGAGGAGGGAGCAGGAGGATCTGGAGGAGGAAGAGGATGAGAAATAATATGAAGATAATGAATAATAACAGTGGTCGTATTCAAATCCTAGTCACACTTCCATCTAGACTACTACTACTCTACTACTACTATACTTACTACTACTACTACTACCTACTATATCTACGACTACTAATTCTACTACTACGTACTAACTACTAATACTTTACTTCTACTTACTACTATACTTACTACTATACTACTACTATACTTACCACTACTTATTACTATACTACGACGACTACTAATACTATTACCACTACTACTACTTACTGCACAATATTACTAGTAGTAGTAGTAGTAGTAGTAGTAGTTGTAGTAGTAGTAGTAGTAGTAGTAGTGGTAGTAGTAGAGTGGTAGAGTAGTTAGTAGTAGAAGCAGCAAGCAGCAGCAGCAGCCAGTAGTAGTCGTCAGTAGTTAGTAGTTAAGTAGATAGTAGTAGTTGGTAGTAGTAGTAAGTAGTAGGAGTAGTAGTAGTAGTCGTCTAGTAGTAGTAGTCGTAGAGTAGTTAGTAGTAGTGTAGTAGTAGTAGTAGTAGTTAGTAAAAGTGTAGTAGTAGTAGTAGTAGTAGTCAGTAGTGTAGTAGTAGTAGGAGTAGTAGTAGTAGTAGTAGTAGTAGTTGTAGTGGTGGTGGTGGTGGTGGTGGTGGTGGTGGTGGTAGTAGTAGGAGTAGGAGTAGGAGTAGGAATAGGAGTAGGAGTAGTAGTGCCACGACTTCTACTCCCGCTACTACCACCACTGCTACTACTATTACTACTACTGCTACTACTACTGCTCCTCCTCCTCCTCCTCCTCCTCCTACTACTACTACTACTACGACGACGACGACGACGACGACGACGGACGACGACGACTGACGACGGACGACGACGACCGCGACGACGACGACGACGACGACGGGGACGACGACGACCTACGACGACTACCTACTACTACTACTACTACTACTACTACTACTACTACTACTACTACTACTACTACTACTACTACTACTACTACTACTACTACTACTACTACTACTACTACTACTACTACTACTACTACTACTACTACTACTACTACTACTACTACTACTACTACTACTATACTACTACTACTACTACTACTACTACTACTACTACTACTACTACTACTACTACTACTACTACTACTACTACTACTACTACTACTACTACTACTACTACTACTACTGCTACTGCTACTAAGAAGAAGGAGAAGGAGGGAAGGAGGAGGAGAAGGAGGAGGAGGTTACGTGCCGCGCGAGCCCGCGCGCTCTGCGGCCGAGGCCTGCAGTCGTGGTTCCACCTGAACGAGCTGCACCGGAACAAGCTGCTGACCCTGAACAAGAAGCTTCCGGCCTTTTGGAAGAAGGTGGCCGCCGGGCAGACCTCCTCTGGGGCGTCACAGAGGGCAGTGTGTGGACTGAGGGGTGCGCGTGGGAGGAGGTCCAGCGGAGACAGCGGTGGCCCTCCCCGGCGGTTTTCGTCCTTCGTGGGCCCCCTGAGACCTCTCGTCGCCACGGCTGGATCCAGAGCGGGGCAGGACTCCAGGAGGGGTCTGGAGACCGACGACCTGGGCGGACCTGAGCCCGGCGGGGGAGCCGCCGTCGTCTGGGCTTGCCATCCGAGGGCGTCGGGGTAGTTGTCATGAGATCTCCCAGATTCCATGGCCCCCCCTCTCTTCACCGAGCGCGTTCCACTGCTCGCAAAGCGCCTTACTTTTTTGGTCGCGGCCACAAGACAACGGTCAGATGGCGAAGGCAACGTCCGGGCCACGGGCGAGGGTAATTGGCTAAAACAGAAACGCGGCCGGCCACTTCAGACGGCAGCTGCAGGCTGGGTGGCGCTGAGCTGGCTGACGTACTGCAGCAAAGTGCCTTACGCGCAGCGTCCGAAATGCAGGTGTCTGCCTCGATATCCTGGATCGTAAATCCCCCCACGGCGGACGCAGGCCATCTGCGCGTAGTGATGCTGCGAGTAGCGGAACACGTCTGTCAGCTTCTTTCCACACGTCCCCCTGGCCCCTGCCTCGTCCCGCGCACATGCCTCGGGCGCCACGAGGCCTTCGCCAAGTGCCCTCCCCCCCTCGTCCCGGCCCTCTTCCCCAGCGCACCCGGGGCCTTCGACGGAGTTCCGTTCATTGCTCGGGGTGTCGGGGTCGGCATGTTTTTTTTTTGGTGAGCGCACCGATTTCGTTTGCGCCTCCCCGAGCTTCGCCCGCATGGAGACTGCTGCCCCCGCGGCCAGGTGCAGAAGAAGTATGCCGATCCGAAGACAGGGTTTGCCAGGCACGAGCGAAACTTCATGTCCGAGCTGTTGGACGAGTTCCTTGCGTCCCTGGAAAGTGCGTCCCTCAGCGGCGCTCGCTCTGGACTCTTCGCGGACTACAGGCTAAATATTGCTCTGACGCTCGGGTGACGTTTCTCATCCCTGCCGACGACTGTTTGTTTGTTTGTTTGTTTGTTTGTTTGTGTGTGTGTGCAGTGTTTGGCTCTTGTAAGCCCAGGACTTCTGCGACGGAATTCGGTGGATGGCCGCTCCAGCATCCCGCAGCTCGGGAAGCTGGGGCGTCTCTACACGCGGTACGACGGATTATTTTTTCAGCGCGGCATCACCGGAGCAGGTTTTTTTTCCCAACCGTAATGTGTTGAGTTGAGTCTTCGTTTTGATTCCACAACGCCGCGCCCACCTCCTCATCTCCTCCTCCTCCTCCTCCTGGCACACCCTCCCACACGTTTTGTGGCACCATAGCTCCGGGCGCCGACGTATGGCGCACGCGCCCCCGATTCGTCACACCCCTTACGCGTTTCGTGGCCCCGTAGGGAGCTCCCCCTGCGGTCCCAGTGGGCACGTGTGGCGCACGCGCCCCCGATTCGGCACATCCCTCACACGATTTGTGGCCTCAAACAAAAGCTCCGCCTACGGTCCCAGTGGGCCCCGACGTATGGCGCCCGCGTGCGCAAGGCTGCTGCGGCCGGCACACCCCTCACGCGTTTCGCGGCCCCGTAGGGAACTCCACCTGCGGTCCCAGTGGGCGCCGACTCGACGTACGGCCTCCGCGCCCCCGATTCGGCACACTCCTCACACGCATCGGGGCCCCACAGGGAGCTCAACCTGCGGGCTCAGTGGGCGCCGACGCATGCCCCTCCTCTCTGCTTTCTCTTTCCCGCCTTTCCTCCTCCCTACTGTGCCTCCCTCCTCCCTCCTCCTGTACCTCCCTCCTCCTGTACCTCCCTCCTCCTGTACCTCCCTCCTCTATCCTGTACCTCCCCCCTTCCTCTTTCCCGCCTTCCCTCCTCTGCTCGCCTCCCTCCTCCCTCCTGTGCCTCCCTGGGGGGGCATGTGAGAAGGATCAGCCATCCCCCCCCCTTCAGACACGCCCTCGCGCGAGCAGGCTACGGCAACCCTGAGGTGCTCGGGGCGGACGAGCGGATGACGACGACGACGACGACGACGACGACGACGACGACGACGACGACGACGACGACGACGACGACGACGACGACGACGACGAGGACGGCGGCGGCGGCGGCGACGACGAGAACGACGACGACGACGACGACGACGACGAGGACGAGGACGAGGACGACGACGACGACGGCGGCGGCGACGACGACGACGACGCCGACGAGGGCAGCGTCAGCGACCGCGGCGGGGGGCGTCGCGCTCGTCCTCGTCGATGTCGGCGTCAGCTTGGAGGCTTCGGCAACTCGGAGGTGCTCGGGGCGGACGAGCTCGCTTTCCTGGAGCGCGCCGTGGAGCTGATGATCGACCTGCTGGATCAGCTGCCCACCAGGCTCGAGGACACCAAACAACCTGCAGCCTGGCTTTAATTCGCTGTCTCTCCCTTCTCCTCCCTTTCCTCCTCCTCCTCCTCCTCCTTCTCCTCTTGACGATCTGAGGTGCACGTGCCGGCCCGTCTACCATCGAGCATAGTACGAGACGATATCATATCATTCTGCAATCTTTACTCAAGCTGAAGTTCTCACCTTCCGCCGACAGCAGGACTGGCAAGCACCGACTTGCGCACTGAAGCGCAGTCAAGGGCACGTTCCGGCCACCAGAAACGTTAAAGGCACGTGGCGTCACAGTTGCCCTCACGCCAGGTCAGGAGCTCATGCCAAGCACTCGTCGATGCTGTGCTCGCTCATGAGTTCTCCTGCCACTGGCGAGTCCCCGCAGATCCCTGAGCTGTTCCTGTCGGAGCCGTGCATACAGTCAAGACGCTGAGATGAGAAAGAGCGCGTTTTGTGGTCGCTTGGAGGGGGGGGGGGGTTGGGGACCAGACCCCCCCCTCCTCCCCCTGGATGGAGTGGGGGTTCGACCCCCCCCCTTCTCTCCACTCTCTCTCTCCTCGGCTAGCGGCGGCGGCGGCGGCGGGGACGACGATTTCCTTTTCTGGGCCAGCGCCGGGCGCCTGCGGCGCCGGGTGGCGGCGGCGGCGGCGGGGAGCGTCGACGAAGACGACGGTGGTGGTGGAGGTGGTGGTGGGTTGTGGTGGGTTGTGGTGGTGGTGGTGGCGGTGGTGGTGGTGGCGGTGGTGGTGGTTGTGGTAGTGGTGGTGTGGTGGTTTGTTGTGGGGTGGTTGTGGTGGTGGGTGGGTGGTCGTGATGGTGGTGGTGTGGTGGTGGTGGTGGTGTGGTGGTGGTTTGTTGGTGGTGGTGGTGGTGGTGTGGTCGGTTGTGGTGGTGGTGGTGGTTTGGTGGTGGTGGTGTGGTGGTGGTTTGGTGGTGGTGGTGGTGGGTTGTGGTGGTGGCGGTGGTTTGTGGAGGTGGTGCTGGTGCTGGTGGCGTTGCTGGTGGTGTTGGTGTGGTGGTTTTTGTTGGTGGTTGGTTGTGCTGCTGGTAGTGGTGATGTTTGTAGCGGTGGTGGTGGTGGTGGCGTGGTAGATTGTGGTGGTCGTGGTGGTGGGTTTTTGTGGTGGTGGTGATGGTGAGTTGTGGTGGGGGTGGTTGTGGTGGTGATGGTGGCTGTGGTGGTGGTGGTGGTGGTGGTTGTGTGGTGGGTTGGTGGTGGTGGTGGTGGGTTGAGGCGGTGGTGGTGGTGGTAGTGGTGGTGGTGATGGTGGTAGTGGTGGTTGTCGTCGCTGCGTCCCCGCCGTCGCAGGCGCCAGCGCCGGCGCTGCTGGCCGCCGCCAGCGCCAGCGCCGGCGCCGGCGGCGGGGGGGTTTGAACACCCCCCCCTTCGGCGCCAGGCGGGGAGGGGGGTTGAACCCCCCCCTCGGCGCCAAGGAGGGGAGGGTTGAACTCCCCCCCCCCCTCTCCCCCCACCCCCCCCCTCCCCCCCTTGGGCTGCCTCTGGTCATCGTCGTTGCGTCCCCGCCGTCGGCGCTGCTGGCGGCCGCTGGCGCTGGCGCCGGGGGGGGGTTTTGGGAGGGGGGGGTTTGGGGGGGAGTGGAGTCACTTTGGTTTTGATCGACGGCGCTGAGTGTTGGGGGGGGGCCACCCCTCGGTTCGAAACGCGCCGCCGAATGTTCCCAAGGCAAGCGCCCGTGAAACGCGTTCTCTCTGAGATGATGACCGCCGCTTTGGAGTCGGGACGGGCTGTGGTTTGCGGGCCGCTTTTTAAAATTAGATCGTGGACCCTATCGTGAAGGCCGTACGGCTGGCGCCGCCGACCCAGAAGGACGACGACGACGACCACGACGACGATGACCACGGCGACTACAAGGACAACGACGAGCTGATGACCCTACCACGAGCTCGGGACATTAGGTGTGGGGTTGGCGGGAGGAGTAAGAGAAGGAGGAGGAGGAGGAGGAGGAGGCGGAGGAGGAGGAGGAGGAGGAGGAGGAGGAGGAGGAAAAAGAGGAGGAGGAAGAGGAGGAGGAGGAGGAGGAGGAGGACCAGTGCAAACCCAAGAATCATCAACGATGCTGGAATAAACCCTCCCACCAAGCTCCCTCTTCATAGGCCCCTACACGGGTTCATTTTTACTGAGGGAACTGCCTCGTTCGAAGACGACCGTTTGAATGCCAAAACATTGTTCTCGGGATTCCACCGCCACAGATCAACCTGAGTGTTGCGTATTGAAGATCCCGAATCGTGTCAGAACGTCATTATTGGGACTTCGACACCGCGAATCAACGTAACTATTGCGCCCGCATAATCCCGAACCTTTCCAAAACGCCGTTTCTGGTACGTTGATCATAGGAATCAGTGGAATTCCTGCCATTTTTGAAACGAATGTGCGCGGCAAGGACCCGCCCTCAATTCGTGAAACTCTTGCACATTTTTGAAACGAATGTGCGCGGCCCTAAAACGAGAGCAACATTTCGACAACGGTTGGCCCTCAATCCGTGAAACCCTTGCAAGTTTTCAAACGAATGTGTGCGGCGCTGACGCGAGAACCGCATTTTGAAAACGGGCCGCCCTCAATCCGTGAAGCTCTTGCACATGTTTGAAACGAATGTGCGCGGCGCTGAGGTGAGAGCCACATTTTGAAAACGGGTGGCCCTCAATCCGTGAAGCTCTTGCAAATGTTTGAAACGAATGTGCGCGGCGCTGAGGCGAGAGCCACATTTTGAAAACGGGTGGCCCTCAATCCGTGAAGCTCTTGCAATTTGTTAAGACGAATGTGTGCCGCGCGAAGGCGAGAGCCACATGTTGAAAACATCTCGCCCTCCATCTGTGAAGCTGTTGCCAATGTTTAAGCATCAGGGCCATAAGTGGTAACATAGTCTCAGGCGAAACGCCCAACCCGCCCTAAAAACTTGCCTCAGGGTGCGACAGGGAACAGTTACTTATCAGGAGCAGGAACGGAGGAGGAGGAGAAGGAGGAGGATGATGATGAGGAGGAGGCGGAGGAGGAGGAGGACGAGGAGGAGGCGGAAGAGGAGGAAGCGGAGACGGAGGCGGAGGCGGAGGCGGAGGCGGATGAGGAGGATGAGGAGGAGGAGGAGGAGGAGGGAAGGAGGAAAAGGAGGAGGAATAGGCGGAGGAGGATGAGAAGGAGGAGGAGGAGGAGGAGGGATGAGGAGGAGAAGGAAAGGAGGAGGAGGAGGGGAGGAGGAGGAGGAGGAGGAGGAGGAGGAGGGGGAGGAGAAGGAGAGGATGATGATGATGAGGAGGAGGAGGAGAGGAGGAGGAGGAGGAGGAGGAGGAGGAGGCGGAGGAGGCGGAGGAGGGAGGAGGAGGAGGAGGAGGAGGAGGAGGGGGATGCTGATGATGATGATGAGGAGGAGGCGGGAGGAGGAGGAGGAGGCTAAGGAGGAGGAGGAGGCGGAGGAGGAGAAAGATGAGGAGGAAGAGGAAGAGAAGGAGGAGGATGAGAGACGAAGCATGAGGAGAACGAGAAGAATGAGGAGGCGGATGAGGATGCTGCTGATGATGCTGATGATGATGATGATGAGGATGAGGATGAGGATGATGATGATGATGATGATGATGATGATGATGATGAGGAGGAGGAGGAGGAGAGGAGGAGGAGGAGGATGATGATGATGATGATGATGATGGTGGTGGTGGTGGTGGTGATGATGATGATGATGATGCTGATGCTGATGCTGATGATGATGATGATGATGATGATGATGATGATGATGATGATGATGCTGAGGAGGAGGAGGAGGAGGAGGAGGAGGAGGAGGATGATGATGATGATGATGATGAGGAGGAGGAGCAGGATCAGAAAGAGGAGCAGGAACAATATGAGGAGGAGGAGGAGGAGGAGGATGAGGAACAGGAGCGCCAGTGCAAACTCAAGAGGCATCAGCGATGTTGGAACAATCCCTCCCTCCAAGCCCCCTCTTCATATGACCCGTACGACGGTTCATTTTTACTGAGGGAACTGCGTCGCTGGAAGACAACTGTTTAAAGACTCTGAAGCATGCCAAAGCATTGTTCTCGGGATTCCAACGCCACGGGTCAATCTGGCTGTTGCGTCTTGACGATCTGGAATCGTGCCAGAACGCCGGTTTTGGGCCTTGAACACTGCGAGCCAACGCATATTGAGCACCCTCAGGCATGAATCCTTCCAAACACATTTCTGGTTCGTTGATGATGGGGATCCGTGAAACTCTTGCTGCTTTGAAGACGAATGGGCGCGGCGCTGCAGCGAGAGCCACATTTCGAAAGGAACCGCCTTCAATTCGTGAAGCTCTTGCAAGCTTTTGCAGCGAAATTGCGCGGTGCCAAGGCGAGAACCACATTTTGAAAACCACCCGCCCTCAATCCGTGAGGCTCTTGCAAGTTGTACGACGAATGTGCGCGTCGCTAATGCGAGAGTCATATTTTGAAAGCCACTCGCCCTCAATCCGTGCAGCTCTTGCAATTTTTTAAAACTAATATGCGCCGCGCTCAGGCAGTTGCCACATTTTGAAAGCCACCCGCCCTCAATCTGTCAAGCTGTTGCCAAATTTAGCGTCGTAGCCAGGAATGGCGAGGACATCTCAGGCGAACGGCCCAGCCCGCCCTAAAAACGGGCCTCGGGGTGCGAGAGGGGAAGTTATTTACAAGGAGAAGGAATCGAGGAGGAGGAGGAGGCGGAGGAGGAGGAGGAGGAAGAGGAGGAGGAGGAGGAGGAGGAGGAGGAGGACCAGTGTAAACCCAAGAGTCGCCAACGGGGTTGGAATACACGCTCCTTTCAAGCTCTCTCTCCATATGTCCCTACAAGGGTTCATTTCCACTGAGGGGAACTGCCTCTCTGGAAGACAAACCGTTTGAAGACCCTGAAGCATGCCAAAACATGGTTCTCGGGATTCCGACGCCACGGATCAAGCTGCCCGTTGCGTCTTGAGAATCCAAAATGAATCGTGCCATAATGCCATTCTTGGGACTTCGACACAGCGAGCCAATA